GTTAATGTAAGAGTTAACCCGGTGCTTGCCTTTCCCAGCGAGGTGTCTTCCTGTCCCGGAGCGGCGTGGCTCTCCAGCTCTGGACCCTTTCCGTCCCCCTGTTGGGTGCTTACCCACACGGTGTGCGATCATCCCGCCACCCTCTCCGTGCTCTCCACTGCTGCCTTGCCCCGGCGTCCAAACCGGGGCATTTGGGTTCAAACCCATCGGCAGCTGTCTCCAAGTTGGCTTTTCGCGATCTACCTCGACCTCGTGACCGCGGTAACTCCCGACCGCAAAACTCAGGGTCCTCTCCTAAACGGTGCTAGGGACCGTATATCCGTCGTTGTTGGGTGGTTTTTCGAGGGTTAACTGCACTTGCGGGCCTCGGCCTCCCCCGAGGAGGGGAGGAGGGGGGGAGGCGGAGATGTGAAGACCAAAACATAGCCAATCCGCATGTCTTGCAACATCTTGCGGTCGCGCCGGCCAAGCATCATTGAAGCGATGGTGCGAGGTTTCGTTGCTGCCCCTGGCGGCTTGTCGGTGGCGGTTGTGCTGCCCGCCTCTGCTTCTTGGTGTGTCGCTGAAAAATGCAATCATGTACAAGAGTGCTCCCGTTGTGATCAATTATGTCCCCGTGGGTGTTTGCTACCCGTTGTCGTCAATGCCGTGTATGGATGTGGACAGCACCATGTACAAACTTCGACACGACATCGATCCCTCTATCACGGGGTCGACTCACGCCTTCCTATCCCCTCCTGACGATGACGTGCATGCAGGTGGGGGACATCTCCGGAGCCGACTTCACCGACGCGTTGATCCGAAAGGACGTGGCCAAGATTCTGTGCGCTAGACCTGACGCGAAGGGAACCAACCCCACCACCGGCACGGACACCAGGGACTCGCTCTTGTGTGACATGTTTTGATTTTCGTAGGGCTTTTACACCCCGCACGGAACACCACAACCTGGGCCAACACCTTTTGGATTTCAAACAAGGGGCCGAAATACCACCCGGTTTTTTTCATATTTCAAGTGAGACTTTGTCGTTTGTTGGTTGTTGTCGCCGGTTTGTTGGTGTTTGTTCGCGTAAGGGTGAGAAGCCTCGCTGCCTGTTTCTCGCTCACGCGACCGAATTGCCGGAGGGTATTCTTAGCCCTGTTGATCATTTGAGATGGTATGTGCCAGATATTTCCACGCAGGTACACATGCACAGCTAGTATCGCCCGCTATTCTTGCTGTTGCGCACGGTGTTTGACGAGGAAATCGCCTGCCGCTGTGAGCAACACGCGTGATTTGGCCAGCAAGCGTATTGCCATGGGCTATCTCGCGGTATGAGCAAAATGAGGCGTTTTTCAATTGTGTCAGCTGCTTATTCTGCTCGATTTCATCATGTTTCGAGGCGTTGCACAGCCGTTCGTAAAAACAACGGGGGTACATGTATGCATAAAAAGTTGACAAAAAAGAAACAAGAGAGGGCAACGCCGCATCTCCTATCGACAGACATTTGCTTGTGCGCGAAATCATGGTGTTTTCGTTGCAAAGCAATTGCGTAAAACATGACAGCAGTTACCACAGACTCGTTTCCTTGGAACCAATTAGTTTGGAGCGAGTCGCGCCATTTGCTAGGCGAGCTCAAGTAGATGGTTGAAAGGGGGAGAGTAAGTATCGTAGCTTACAGCGTGAATATTCCCCGGTCTTGAGCGGGTCTTGCTACCCTCCAGGTGCGTTCTTCGGTTTAGCGAAGAGCAACGAGAGGTGGACCAGGCGGGGTGACTACTGGCGAGAACCAAAGTGCACGCGGTGCAGGCGTGTCACCATGATTGAGTGTAGACGCAAGCCACCTGACGGTGCAAAAAATCACGGGTCGGGCGGTTAGCGCCGAACACGATGTTTAGCTCGGTCACCATCCTCCCCCTGACTGGCACTTGCGACCTTGGTGGAATTATCTCGCCAAGAACAATGACGAAAGCGGTGTTCGCGCATGAAGCGTCTATCGGCAAGCGAGTTGTTCTGCATACGTTTTGTGTGTGACAGGTAGATTTTGCAGCAGTCCGTTCTCCCGCGCCACCGTGCACATTAATCCCCCGCAATATTGACCTCACGTGTCAAAAATGTTTTCGAGCAAAACGTGAGGGTGAAGGCACCGCCCATGTCGCCCTTGTCCACAAGACATTCACCAACGAGTGTACGCAATGGCCAGCGCCAATAATCGCATTTGTGGTACACGACGGACGATCGATTCACGAGCAAAGGCGGGCTACGTACATAATGGACGATCATTGGAAAAAGTACCACGGTAATCCACCACGGTAATGGACGGTAACGTAGGATGGTAACAAACCATAAAGCGATGCACTGTAACTATTTTGCGTTTTTTGTTCAGCACGTGTGACGCTCAAACAGCGCGTTCCACAAAGAACACAAAACGTACGAATGGAACCTATCGCATTTCGTTTTTCAATTGTTTTGAGGCAACAGGCGAAAATCTTGCGGTCAAATTACCGAAAGACGAGGCAAAAGACAAAGGATAAAACAAACGCACTACATCATTACGTCCAGAGCGACACCTCGAAATATCCATCACTTAATCCCTAATCATAGTCTATCTATCTCAGCTACGTGAGGACTGAAAACACCAAACTTATCTGCCAGACGATGCATAAACCACCAGCTACCACGTACACACATACCGAGCTCAACCACAAGCATTGGGTACCGTACCTGCGCCACACCGCAGGCAAGAAGTTCAAACACAAGAAACGGAAAATACACCACACTACAGTACGGCAATACTCAAAACCAATATTCAAAGACTCAAGACACCCAGAAAAAAAGGTTCTCCGTTCGTTTGATGGATCGATACATAAAAGAGAGATGGGCAGAACAAAAAAACGAAACGGAAGAGGTGGTGTCTAACCCGCCATACGCAGTGCGACGAGCTTGCGGGCATGCCCCTCAGCTACGTGTACACAAACTTTTCTTTGTTTCCACAAAGAACCGGGAATTCTGTATCTCCCCGGTAATTGCTTGGGTGGTAACCAAAAGCCACGGGATTTCGACATTTTGCACGGTATTTGGTTGGGTGGGAACAACGGGATTTCATATCCTTGGTGAAGATTTGGATGAGAATGGGAGAAGGCCATTCGCTCGGCAATGATTTGGATGGGTACGGTAACCGGGAATTATCACGGTAACGATACCAATTACCGTTCCCGTGGAAATCCCGCGGGAAAGTACCGCGGGAAAATTCCCGAGAGTAGCCTTGGGAAATAGTAGCTCATTACGGGGTCCCGGCGTCCTGGGAAAAATAGGCTATGCATGCGAGACTGGTTCTTGCAGGGAACGGCGCTCGACGCCGTTTTCACCTGAAGGCTACTCCAAATAGACTGCGCCTCTCGTTAAATGTGGCTGCGACGAGAGATGGGGTTAGGGCGCCCTTTCGCACGCGCTCCCCAAGAGTGCCTGCCTATGTTGCCGCTGCTGCCGGCGACGGCGATGCTGACGATGGTGGCAATAACTCGTTAAACTTTCCAAGGTAGTACTTCTTCCCTTGACTTGCAAGCGCCGTTCGATAGCTGTTCACCCTGGCTCGCTGAGAACCAACCGTGAAAATGTTCCGAGATGGGGGCAAGCAAACACGCAGGCGGGGGGGGGGGGG